TTTGCATATTTCTTCAAATGGTCCAGCTGAACTCTTTTCAACAGCAGGGTCAGAACTTCTGGATGTTTCCTTAGTTCCAGTTTCTAATTAAAACACAAAACTAGTGTTATTTAAAATGTGATAATAGTTTAAAAATGAACAGATTGTAGTTAAGAAGTAAAATGCATGAAAAACAATGACCAAATATGTAAAGGTTATACAAATTATCACTCACAACAAACAAAACTCACAATGTTCTTCACATACGTCAAAATTAAAACATGAATAATGGATCATTTAATTATTTTCAATCATTTTTTTGTTTTAATGATCTTGTTAATTTTTATAATTACTTGATTTGTTTTATTAAAAGTCCACGAAGACAAAGGGATAAATATAATTCAAAGCCAGTGAAAAAATACAAAAAATTTAAGTAAAAGTAGTTTTACTTAAAAAGAGACTTTTGCTGGTTTTCTAATTTGTTCAACCTGTCAGTACTATAAATGTGTCATAATTTGAGATTACTTCTGTAATGTAAAGCGCATTATAAATAAAATGTATTATTATTATTATTATTATTATAATTAGCTGGAGTAAGGATCCAAATGCAGTGAGAAAGGAAATAGGCAGCTAGGTAAAGTCACAAATAAGGTATTTTATTTTAAAGACCTTTGATTTGAGCAGTACAATAATATACAAGCGTGATGAAAGGGCACTTGCCACCTGGCACAATGAGACTTTTATTGCAATGTTTTCTGCTAATAACGTTGCCATGGTAAATCAAAATGCTTAGAAAAGCCACGTTGGGGTGTGCACCCCATAATCATGATATACCCTTTTAGAGGCAGGCTCCTTAATAATAACAACAATAATAATAATAATAATAATTATTATTATTATTATTATTATTATTATTATTATTATTATTATTATTATAAACTAAAACTGAACACAAGGGAATACAAACTGAACTAAATGAAAATAAAAACAGTCTAAACAATGCACAGAGAAGGGAAGATAATGAAGTCAAATATAATGAGACGAATAAATAAATGGTCGGTGTACTTTTTGGTATTTGAATTTTTGTTTCAGCAGCAAATACAAAAAAATAATTAACCAAAATGTAAGAAATGTTCTGATTTTTATATTTGATTAATGAATACGAGGGAAAATAAGGTATTTTTTATTATATGGTAAGAAAATAGAACGCTACATCTGTGACTATTAGAGGCTATTAGATTACCATCATTTCTACGCTCACCATGTCCTGAACACGGTGAGCGAAGCTTTGGATCATGTGTGTGAAGTATGTTTACTCTCATGAAGCACACAGCCACTGCTGCCGCTGCAACGCCACTTTCTTCCTCACTGAACGAGTGAAAATCTTCGTCAGAGGTTAAATGTTACTCTTCAGAATCAGAGTCAGCCATTACCAGACAAAGAGCTTTGTCAACAGTGTCAACAGCGAGTCAGCTTTGTAAGTTTCTCCTCTAAAATATTTAATATTCACCCTCTGTGAGCTCTGCTCGTCTCCTCTCCTCAGTCGGGAGCTTCCTGACAGGTGGGGCAGTTTTCAAACTCAACAATTTCCGAAAACGTCGATAAAAACTGTCAAAAATGTTGCTCAGATTGAAGTTACACATCTCCACTATCTTCTTAACTTCATGAGGGATTAAATTAGCAGCTGTGGCTCGTTGAACCCCAGCAGTGATGCAATTTTGGGACTTTGGCGCTTAAAGGGACATCTAAAAGGCTACAATTTTAATACTTCATATGTCGGGTTTCAGTTTACAGGTGTTGTAAAGATGAAAGTGTCCCAGACAGACTGTGTTCTCGAGTCAGGCGCTGGAACATGACTACCTACTGCAATGCATGTACAGATTTGATGTTTACTTCATTACAAACGCTGTGTTTAGTGGGGGGTGGCCACATATTTCAAGGGATGCTTCATAATCTTTAGCTGATAAAAGAGTAAGTTCAGATGGTTTTGATACAGAGTTTATGTTTTTAATATTTAGGCCTAGTGATTAGAACAGTTGCTCACTTTGTTATTGTTGTGTCTGTGATGATGCATCAGCTTTGAACTGATTACCATAGATTTTTGTCATGACCGCCTTAATTCTAAAACTATTGAGGCATGTGGTTTTGGTGCCTAGTCACACAGTAATGCTAGCTCACACGTGATCTTAGGTCCATCTTGACCCTCCAGCTACAACCTGGTAGTCTACGTGCTCATGTGATGTCCCAAAAGGTCATGTATTTCTGCTAAATGACCAGAAGTTAACTTTCTAACTCACAGGCTGTACTTACATGGTCATGCCACTCTGACATCTAACTTATCCTGTTGAGTATCACAAGACATGTGGTCCTGTTGGCTTCATAAGAACGTGATCTCCAGCTCTCACTGGAGCGGTTCGCAGCCGATGTGAAGCAGCTGGGATGAGAATCAGCTCCTCTGAATCCGAGACCATGGTCTTGTGTCAGAAAATGATACAAGCGGCCGAAATGAGTTTTCTCCGCTGGGCGGCTGGGCTCTCCCTTAGAAATAGGGTGAGGAGCTCGGTCATCCGGGACAGGCTAGAAATGTAGACAAGTTACTCCTCCACATCGAGAGGAGCCAGTTGAGGTGGTTCAGGCATCTGGTCAGAATGCCTCCTTGACGGCTCCCTGGTGAGGTTTTCTGGGCACGTCCATCCGGGAGAAGGCCTAAAGGAAGACTAAGGACAGGCTGGAGACACTATGTCTCACAGCTGGTCAGGGAATGCTTTAGGATTCCCCCGGAGGAGCTGGTCCACATGGCTGGGGAGAGGGAAGTCTAGGCCTCCCTGCCTCCACGACCCAACCGGATAAGCGGCCAAAAATGGATGGATCGATGGATAGATGCTGATTTGTCCAAATTGATAAGCAATAGTTAATAAAAGCTAGTTCACTTCCTAAACAAGCCAGTTCTAGCAAGCTGCCCGGTTCGGCCGACTGGGTAAGCCAAGCATGAGAAACCATCCTCCTTACAGACCTCAAGGTCAAATATTTTGCAAACTGCATCAGATGCAAAATAGTTCTGCCAGATTCCAGCAATCACATAGAAGGTATCTCAGCAACACATTCTCACACCCAAGGCATCAAAACATGAAGCGTGTGACCAAGCCTCAATATTTGACGATTTGGGACGCCCCAGCGCGTCAGGAGATGACGATCAGGGACAAACTGCTGACGCAGCGTCCCAGAGCATCGGTATCCGACGCTGGTGGTGAGACGGACATTAGAAGTACTTGTGAACTACTTAACCTTCCCCTCACCCAAATCCTAACCTTAAGGTCACAGTTTATGGACCTTAAGGTTAGGATTGGGGTGAGGGGAAGGTTAAATAGTCGAATAATGTCCGTGTGACCGCGCGCGTCAAACAGGGACGCCAGCGGAGCCACGTGTCCCAGCGTGTCCCTGATCGTCGTCTACTGATGCGCTGGGGCGTCCCGAATCGTCATATATTGAGGCTTGGTCACACGCCTCATATTTTGACGCCTTGGGTGTGAGAATGTGTTGATCTCAGACCAGAGGTTCGTATTTGGGGTAGACCTACGTGCTCCAAATACCCAGAAGTTCAACTCCACGGCAGTCTGTCCGTACCAACTTCTCCGGACCCCCTTGATGGCACGGGGACCTTCACTACAAGGGTTCGTAGACTCTGCACAACTGGCGCGGATGGGTTTGTGAAAAATTGATAGTTTCTTAAACCATTCAGTCAGACTGATTTGACAATGCAGACATCACAAGTTTCTAAGATACTTAATCCGGTTTCGCTGCAGAACATCTAAGCTTACATTCCATTGTTTCAGTCATTGTCTCAGTTATCTTGTTCAAACCATCAATCATCATAATTTGTTCTGAGTCATTATTAGTAGTAGAAATATAGTAATAAATTTAATTTCATAAACTATATTTTTGCCTCTGTCTCAAATTTTTACAAAGGTGTGATTTCCCTGAACTACCAAAAAGACCTGGTTTAATCATAGATCAAATTTCAAAAGATCAATAATATTGATAATTCATATTCATATGGAACATCACATTTTATTGATCATTTAATAAAAGTAACCACTTACATGACATTACACCCAGATTTGTCCTCACAGCAGCATTTAGACTTTATAACCATCACTGCTCTAACAAGCCTTGCAGGTGCTTACATCCCTGCTATTATTTACAGTTTCCTTTTTTTTTTTTACAAACAGTCTTGTTTTAATGCAGAAATCATTTTACTGTGCAGGTTTTGTCTGTTTTAATACTTTTACCTTTGTGTGGATATGTGTGTTTGTTTATATAAATAAAAGCATTAAAAAAACGTTCTAGTTGATTAAAAATCACTTTGAATCTGGATTTGCCAAAGTTATGAATATTTCTGGGATTAACATTATTCAGTTTTTTTTTATTTTTACATTGATCTGTTTCACATAATCTACTCATGTTGTCCATCGAGCTACAAATGTGTGTTTTACTAGAATAAAGTAGTCCGCTCAGGTGTGTTTGGTCTCAGGCAGTCTGATGGAATAGGCAGCGATGCTAACAGTCAGAGCTAACAGTATGCTAGGACGTCTGGAAATGAACACACAGCTGCTTACTGGTTAAGAACCTGTTTTATTGAGCGTTAACGTTTATATGATTGGAGCTGATTATCCTCATATGAAGGAAACTTCTTGGCTTGTTGACATAATTGGAGGCGATCCAACATGAGAACAATAAATGTAGCACTTTCTGTTGTCACCAACAGACTCAACGATAAAGTAACTGCACTTCACAACTATTTTAAAACATTTCTTTATCTAGTTTGTTGGAAGCAAGGAGAGGTCCACTGGATCTGTGCCCAGCCCAGTGTGCACTCCCGATACAGAGAAAACGGTTGTGTCAGGTGTTGCCACAGCAACAGATTATGAACCTGTGCGCTCAAAGTCCTAAACTAGTTGTTGCTACATAAAAGAATCCCCACCTCGTATTTTGCTAACAAGAGGATCCTCACATCCTTGTAAACTCCATAAGCATTATTGTTCATGTAGCCTACATCGGTACAACACCTGTCCTCATAAACCAGACAAAAAAAATAAAATAAAATTTGGTCAGGTGGCCATTTTTCCATTTTGTAGTTTTGATCTAAAAGTGAAGATGGAACTATGAATGCATTTAAAAAAAACAACAAAAAAATTAACAACTCTTTTCTTTTTGATATTTGTTTTCAATCAAAAATACAGTAGCAAGAACGAAAGGCTCACGCTCCAGCTTTCCCTCACCCGAGAACAACACCTCATCCCTGACCCGGAGAACGCATTCTACCCTTTTCTGAATCAAGACCAAGGTCTCAGATTTAGATGAGCTGATTGTCATCCCAGCTGCTTCACACTCGGCTGCAAACAGCTCCAGCGAAAGCTGGATATCATGTTCTGATGAAGCCGACAGCACCACATCATCTGCAAAAAGCAGAGACCTGATTTACCCTTGCCCGGGTTTTTGCCCCGCGACCACCAGAGCTGTATTTCGCTTGAACTGTCTGTACCAGTACTGAAGCTAAACCAGGGGCCTCATTTATAAAACATTGCACATAATCCTTACTAAAACTCTACTTTAGCTCAGCAAAAAAGTTGTTATGCAAACTAATTTTCTGACCTATAAAACTCTGCTTACACATGGCTCCGTGCAGTTTCTGCTTTATAAATCACACCTGTCCTATAAATGTGCTCAGGTGTTTCTGGATCACATCCCGCCTCCTCCACACCCACTTTCTGCCATTAATGGACAATGCAAACTCTGTAATGAATATTGTGCATATAAATAAACCTGCCAATTCATGACATGCCACAGACATGACAGCTGAGACAAAATACACGCTCTGGGGCAAGACATATAGGAATGGAAGGTGTGTGTGTGTGTGTGTGTGTGTGTGTGTGTGTGTGTGTGTGTGTGTGTGTGTGTGAGTGTGTGTGTGTGTGTGTGTGTGTGTGTGTGTGTGTGTGTGTGTGTGTGTGTGTGTGTGTGTGTGTGTGTGTGTGTGTGTGTCCTCGATCCCCAGTGAGTCGTGGAGGATGGCTGCTTATACTGAGCCAGGATCCTCTGGAGGTTTCTTCCTGTTAAAAGGGAGTTTTCCTCTCCACTGTCGCTAAATGCTTGCTTAGTAGGAGGATTGCATCAAGTCACTGCTGGGTTCCTTATATAGGAAAAATTATTTCTGATTGGCTTAATGAACTGACCTGAATTGGAATGTTTATTATGTGAAGTGCCTTGAGACGACTCTTGTCGTGATTTGGCGCTATATAAATAAAATTGAATTGAATTGAATTGAAAGAAATGGTTTACTCCTTTTCAGCACCACCAAGCCGTTACAGCAGTGTGCTTTGGTTCATTGAGCGATCAGCGGATGTAAAGGAATACAAACGAAGTATCTGTCAGGTGGAGCCTAAGATGGCAATAATCAATAAAAGCCGCACTGGTGTGCAGTGAGGGATCACTTTATTTATTTAAGCAACGTCACTCCCCAGAGGGTGGCTTTCCATTTTGGTTGTCATTGTAATATGAAATTCAGTTCATGTAATCCAAAAACACCTGTACACATTTATGTTGTGATTTATATAGCAAAAACTATGAATAGCCTTGTGTGAGCAGAGTTTAATAGGTTGGAAAATTTGTTTCCATAATAATTTATTTTATATCTTAAGTAGAGTTTTTGTAAGGATTCTGCACAATGTTTTTACAGAATGAATCAGGGGGGTCAATATAAAAACTGAATCATACTAAGTGTGCGGAGACAGGAAATATATATTTGCCTAGTGGTAGAGTGTCTGCCCTGAGACTGGGAGATCAGGGTTCTGATCCTTGTCGGGTCAGACCAAAGACCAGGGGCGGATATCGGACTGAAGAAGTTCCGGGGCTTAACACACACACACCCGCGCGTGCGCACGCACACACGTGGCACGCACACACGTGGCACGCACTAGTCAACATCATGTATGTCTTGTACCACATAATTTTTAATCTGAAGCTACATATTAAGCATTTTCAGGGCAGAATATTGTTCCTGTTAGTGTTTAGTGTGAGACGATAGTAAATATTCCTTTTCTTTCTCCAACAACTTTACCTGATGGTAAGCTAACTTTAGGCAAACCAGCAGCACAACAAATATTTTCAAATAAGAACCACAAACCTGAGTCAACACCAGTCTCATCAAAGCTGGGGTTCTGTCGTTGGACTTTTGGTCTAAAAAACATCCTTATGTCCATCTCCACTCATGCGTTTCAGGCAGAGACTGTAGAAGAAGCCAGCTGCTGAAGGGCTTCTTCAGTGGTGGAGGCTCAGGCAGGCTGTATACAAACTACTGCCAGCTGCTCCCTCTCTGTTGGACTTTGGTACTGCATGTTACTTCCACGTTTTAGATCCGGGGCTTTTCATGAAACATTCGGTGCTTGAGCCCAAGTAGCCGGGCCTAACGCCGCCCCTGCCAAAGACTTTGAAAAAATGGGACCCAACGCCTCCCTGCTTGACACTCAGCATTAAGGGGTTGGATTGGGGGGGTTAAACCACCAAATGTTTCCCGAGTGCAACCACTGCTGCAGCTCACCGCTCCCCAAGGGGATGGCTCAAATGCGGAGAAGAAATTTCACACACACTTCAGTGTGTTTGACAACTAACGGGTCTTTAACTTTATAATCAGAAATAATAATTATGAATGGTTTTTCAGTGAACCACTACTTTGAAACCTGCAAAACAAAAATTAAATTTGTTAGAATATGAATCACCAATGAAACTTACATCAGTAGAGTCATATGTGGTGTTGCAGCTTTCACAGAACCGATCCCCGCTGAAGCAAAGGTCACTGAAGTACTTGATGATGCCATCCTCCTGAAGAACATTTAATTCAGTCATCACTCATCTTTCATTAAGAACATAAATAAAACATAACTGCATCATATAAAAATACACTAAAAATCAAAACAATCTTTACATATATAATACATTATTATTATTATTATAAGTTTTGTAGTGATAGGAGCAGTACTAGAAGTAGTTGAAGTAAAAGTATTTTAACTTACATTACATTAGAATCCATATTGCTCAAACAATGAAGAAAAAACGTTTTTCCTCGTAAAGGTCACTTAATGCAAAGTGAGTCAGAATTTCTTACCACATTGTAGTCTTTGTCGTCATCTACCAGAAGAGGAAGTCTCCAGAATGGCTCAGATGTTTTGGTCTCCTTCTTGCACTGAGAGCATTTGTTCTTAAGAATCCTCACACCTTTAAATAGCTTAAGACAAACAATAGAAAGTATACGTATTTTTAAATCACAAATCTATTAGAGTAGTTTTAAGGTCTTTACCTTTGAGGCCACAGAACTGGTCAAATTGCTCAGAATGTTCTGCAAACACTCAGCTGCATCAGGCTGCTCGAATCCTGTCAGGGTCAGAGAAATTTTAGTTTTCCATTAAAGTAAATCTGTGCTTTTTTTTCTCGACTTTGATCTCACTATTGCGTTGTTAATGTTAGCAATACAAGATTCTCCAAGAGGAAGTTCCTGAATTATAAATTTCAGGTTAATTTAAATTTTGTTCATTTTAGCTATGCATCTTTGACATAAATCAGAAAACCAGAGCAGATCAATAATTGTTTTCACCACGAGCAGCAATGGCATTGAAAGTAGCCTGCTGCTTCAACATTTAAACAGTCCTCCATTTCATCACTGTCTTTCTCTCCTTGTTACGGACTGGATGGGATGGAGTCACATGACTCTGTGTGACTTGCTGCGCTGAGTCAGTGGCACAGTTTCTTAAATGGACATGGACATTAGCAACCAACATGTCAATTCGTTGTTTTTAAAATGCTGAATACACCAACACACTGCAAAAACTGATTTCTAAGAAAGTTAAAAGGCCTAATTTTAATAAATTTGATCTTTTTCTAGTCTAAAGAGAAATAAATTCATCTTTAGAAAAATAGCATTACTATAATTAAGGTAAATATTTCTAATTATGATCCAAAGTTTCTTGTTTTGAGTAAAACATTCAGCCAATGGGGTAAGCCAAGGTTGCATAGCTAAAATTCTTAAAACTAGCAATACTTGGATTTATTTGCCCATTCAAATGCCGACCGCTAGTTTGCAGTGGTGTGGAATGGGCTTTGCTTCCTCTATTGAAATGTAAATCCCTCTATTATGGTTCAGATACCTCATGTTAAACATGTTACGTATCAGTCTGTTTATTGAATATTCCTACAATAAATTCAGCCCAAAAAAATTGCTACCAACGTCTGACTCAATATATCACAATATATCATGATGCATTGTATCATAAAACATATCGTATCGCCAAAATTTCACCAATACAAATCTCTATACATACACAACCGGTGATGGATGTAATTTTCACTTTAGAAGTGTGGGGGGGTTATCTTTACAGTATGCTCTAATGGGAAACAGGCTTCAACACAAACAGTTGTTTTCCACTTGGTCCTAGAGCTCAACCAGTGTCCATTTAATACAGAGTAATATTGTTTTTGGATGGTAAAAAGTGCAGGGGTCAAACCTTGACTTTGGAAAAAGTGGGGGGGACATGTAACACCCCCCCAATTACATCCATGCTAGTGGTCAAAAGTTTTAGAACACTCCAATATTTCCAGTTTTTTATTGGAAATTATGCTATTTAATGTCACATTGCACTCTGATGTGAAAGCATAGTACAAATAAGCAATTGGAGTTAAAAAGGAAATCATGAAATCAATTTACAGACCAAAATGTATTCTAAACTTTTGACTCATCAACGTAGCCACCTTTGGCAGAAATAACAGCTGAACACACTCGTGGCATTCTTTCTACAATAGAAGTCAAATATTCTTCAGAAAGTTCTTCCCACATCTGTTGCAGAAGGTCCCATAAATGTGTGGCACTTGTAGGTTGCTTTGCTTTCACTCTTCTGTCCAGTTCATCCCAAACTAGTTTGATGGGTTTAAGTCTGGAGACTGTGCTGGCCACTCCATGTTTTCAAGCTTACCATCTTGTTCTTTTTTTCCTGAGGTAGTTCTGGCACAGCTTGGACTTATTGTTTTGGGTCATTATCTTGCTGTAGGATGAACCCCTGACCAACTAGGCGCATACCAGAGGGTACTGCATGGTGCTGAAGAATGCTGTGGTAGCCATTTTGGTTCAGGGTGCCTCTCACTCTGTACAAGTCGCCGACCCTGGATCCAGCAAAACAGCCCCAGACCATCACACTTCCTCCTCAATGTTTGACAGCTGATGCCACACACTATGGAACCATCCTTTCACCTACTCGACGGCGTACAAAGATCCTGCATGATGAACCGAAGATTTCAAATTTGGATTCATCAGTCCATAATACCTTCTTCCAGCCTTCAGTAGTCCAACGGCGGTGTTTCATGGCCCAGGCAAGCCTCTTTCTCTTATTCTGATGTCTTAGCTGTGGCTTTCTTGCTGCAACTCATCCTGTCAAACCTGCAGCTCGGTCTTCTCATCACAGTTGAAACTGAGACTTGCTTACTACGACCACTATTAAGCTGTGCTATAACCTGTTGTCCTGTGAACTGCCTATCACACAAGCTGTAAACTCTCAGAAACTTGTCCCCTGATGCAGTTGTGGCTTTGGGTCTGACAGACGTCTTCCTGTCAGAGTTTGTCCCAGTTTCTGAGTGCCTTTGATGGTGAAGGACACTGCACTCACTGACACCTCAACTTTCTTCACAGTTCCAGGTGACTACCTCTTGAAGCTCATCAAGAGAGTGCCAAGAGTGTGCAAAGCAGTAATCAGAGCAAAGGGTGACTATTTTGAAGAAAGTAGAAAATAAAACATGTTTTCAGTTATTTCACCTTTTTTGATTAAGTACATAACTCCACGTGTGTTCATTCATAGTTTTGATGCCTTCAGTGAGAATCAATTTAAAAGGTCATGAAAATAAAGACAACACACATTGAATGAGAAGGTGTGTCCAAATGTTTGGCCTGTACTGTACATAAATGTGTACAATTGTGTTTAATTTATTTAAATGATGGCACTCTTAGAACTTCATAAGATTTTCATTATAAAGGTTTGTAAACTACTGCATTAAATAAGTCATTATGAAATTGGCTCAAGTGAGCAAACTTTTATTTACCAGTTAAAAGTTAGATTTATTATTATTATTATTATTATTATTATTATCTGCGATGGACTGGCTCTCTGTCCAGGGTGTACCCCGCCTACTTGCCCGTTGACCGCTAGAGATGCCCCCCCCCCCCCCCCACGTGGACAAAGCGGGTTCAGAAAATGGATGGATGAATGGATTATTATTATTATTATTATCATATTTCATTTGTCTAAATATATGTGGACCATTGAGACCTCTTGCAAACCAGTAACTTGTCAGCATGAAAGAAATCTTAAGTGTACCTGATGTAATGTCCAGTTTCTTAGTGATGTGTTTAGTGTCGCCTGTATTTTTCTTCAAATCCATAAAAAGACTTTTAAGATGGAAATCAGGAGAGTCGTCTTCATTGTTGTACCTGAAAGGAAAAACATAATCTATCATGAGTGACACAGAATCAGATTATAATCTCTGTTCATTTAAACGTTAAACTGAGTTTTAATCCCACAACCAACCTTTCCACGGCCTCTCTGAACTCTCTGGTCATGAACAACACCTGGAGAACGCTGTTCAGGTAACATGTTGATCCTTGGTTCAGCAAGCCCTTGTACTTGAAGCCTTAAAGAATTAATTAATTATTCATGTAAATAAATCACTCATTGGGTCATTTCTGTTCAGAATTGACCAAATTGAAATCTTTGTAATCACACCTGATATTTGATCTATTTGACTAAAGGAAGTACAATGTGTCTTGGTGAGTTTCTCATCTTTACAATGAGGAGTCATCTTCTTCTCTCCATCTTTTTGTTTGTCCACACATGTCCTGTCATTAAGTCCCTCAGTAGCATCATCAACACTTTGCTCGCCATCACCTCCATTTTTACCAGTTCCTCTAGATCTGGTTCGGTCAAATGCTTCTCAGTCTCATTCCTTCTTTGACGAGTTATCATTATTAATTCTTCTTGTTCTTGAGGAACACCATTACTTTCATGTGTCTCCTCCCTAACACTGTCCATGCTTTTCTCATCATGTTCTTGAAGAACATTTAAGGTTTTGTTTTGACCTCTCTCCTTTTCACTGTTCACATTTTTCTTACCTGGAATCAAACTCGTTTTATCCTGTTCATCAGGTTCCTGTGCTGCTGCCTCACTACCACTCTGTTCTTTTGTCTCTACATCCATTTCATTTTTTTCTGTTTTTTCTGTTTCTACGTCTCCAGATGTAGACGCTTCTTTGATGTTTGGAGCAGGAACTGGAAATTAACCAAATAAAAATTTAAGTAGATTCTCAAAAAGCCTCATAGTCAGGAAAGTTAGCATAGAAATTATATTTCTGATCTTACTTTTCCTGTAGAACAGCAGGCAGGCAAAAACATTTCTAGTTAGAGTGGAAAGAAAATATTATTGAAATGTTGTCATATTTAGCAAAACAACAGAAAAATAGAAAAACAGATGAAAACCTACCTTTCTTCACTCAGCTGGAAGGGCTGGGGACAACTCTGCATAGAAAAGTAGCTCGTTTTACAATCAAGACCATTTTCTGTGTTCAAGTTTATCAAACAATAACATGAAGAACATACCAATGAGACCCTGGTGTCATCAAAGTGGTACCATTTGTCATCATCCTGGGATTTTATTTTTACAGTGTATGTTCCATATCTCTTCCTGTCACCTAATTGCTCCACACATGCGTACACCTCATATCTCTGACTCTGATGATGAGAAAACAGTAAAATGGCATAAATGTAACGTAGAGATGAAAATCCCATCATAAAAAAAAACATGCAGAGTGCAGACCTTTTGTTCATCAAAGGCTGGAATTTTTGGGCAAAGTTAAATGCCATTTGGATTAACCCTTTAACTTCCTCACCAAGAAAAAAGGCAATGGAAATGTTCCTCGTTTGAATTTTTTGATTTAGGTCAATAAGGTCATGAGCAGAGGTGTGGACATGAGTCAAATGACTTGGACTTGAATCAGACTTGAGTGATTAAAGCTGCAATAGCAAATTTACAGAAACAAGCTAGTTTTTAAACACAAACTCTCATTGGGTATCACCACGTCTGCCAGAACCAGAAACCCACATTGCCAGAGAAAACAAGAAAGCTCTTTACACACCAGTTGCGGTTTTCTAGGCCCAAACGTCTTTTGTTGTCCGTGACTTCAATTGTTGTTTTTTTTTGGAATCTGGTAGTTTGTCCTAAATTGAAGTGGTAGCAGCCGACTGTTTCTCCTTCTCTGATATTATTGAGCAGAAAAACTCTCACACCTGTGGTGTTCTGTTGCAAAATGCACAAGCGCGTAATGAATGGAGGGCACAAGTAATGCAGAAACGTGGCAGTTCGGTGAGACCAACAGCTGCATGGTCCAATCATTGGTTTGAGACTAAGCCATGTTATTTTCTGATGTTTTCAGACAAATGCAAGAGAACCACTTTACTAACATTTTTTAAAAATAATCGTTTTATAATAATCATATTGATAATAAAATATGCATAGTTATACTATGTTAAAACATTGTTAAAAGGCTTGAAAAAATGTTTTAATCTAGCTTGTTCTGATTTGTCAATGTAGATTAATGCTTTTTTTAAGTTATCTCTGATTATATTCAGTCACTGAGCTTTTCCATGCAGGCTGAATATGAGTCTCCTACACCTATCTCCAGCATTAGCTTCTGATAGAAAATAGACGGTGAAACTCTTGGATTAGACCACATGTGCCGGACATAAGGCCCGCGGGCCACATTTGGCCTGCGGAGCATTTTTATGTGGCCCGTGAGCTAAATATCAAAAATATATTAAAACTGACTCGCTGGCCAATTTTACCGCAAAGACTACAACTCCCATGATGCTTTGCGACGTTAGCGCAGAGCCGAAGCGCCCCCTCCTTTGTGTTTTTTCCAGCATCTGCTGCGGGTGTCTGCAGCTTTGCTGTCTCGGACAAACTAAACACTCCTCTCACTCAGCGCCGAGTTTACTCAGCTATTTGCCGACGTTGAAGCCCAGAAACGGAGATTTTAACAGCTCAGTAATGTGTTCATGACTGAAAGAGAAAGTTTTCCATTTAACTTCCAGACAGAGCTGATATAACTCCAGCGAGCAGCAACACGCTCAAACCAGCATGACTCTGTGGCTGCTGTAGTTTTTATTTTTCCTCCACGACACACAACAACGTGGTCGAACTGCTCAGACATGTTCATCAGCACAAACCTATGTGAGCACCTGTTGTCATCTAATGTTGTCATTATTATGATGAAGATGAACAAAACAACAGGAGTCTCCTCCTCAACTCAGATCAACCTCATGATGCAGGTATCTGGCTGGAACAGGTGAGCACCACAGTAAACCAGTGGAGCAAACTGAGCTGTAAATATTTTGGTTTTATGCTCTTTTTCTGCGTTTTATGTAAAATTGACTTTCTCGTGTGTAATTTGGTTATTCCACATTCAGTGTTAATGCAAAAACAAGTTTGTTTCCAAATTAAAAGGTTCAAAATTGCATATAAGTTGATAAAGAAAATGTGCAAATTTGCCGTCACTTTTTCAAAAAATATTACGTTTGGCCCGCAACTTCGCCCCAGATTTTAATTTCGGCCCAGTGTGAATTAAAGTTTGACACCCCTGGATTAGACAATCCTGACAGATCTACGTCACACTGTCACTTAACATTCATGGCCTCACCCATCTTGACTCACGACAAGGAAGGCTGTTGTTGGTTTAGTGTCTGGGAAAGAGCAGAGAACATCTCAGCTGGTAGAAGCTAACCATCAGCATTAGCAACTCCACCACACAGCAGAACTCCTCCAGGCTTGTGTTATTTGTGGAGATAACATAAAAGTTGCAGAGCAACCTGAGTCAGTCGTAGAGTTGCATTTCTGTTAGCCAATCAGAGGTGAGATGTCCAAATATCAAGAAAGTTCCTGACACAAGCGCGTCCAAGTTTTATTCCCCCCTGAGTAACACTAGCAAGGCATTAAGTCCTTAATGGCATTACATTAATCTCCGCAAACAAAGCAAGGAACCTTGGTGTTATCTTTGACCAGGACATGTCATTCAAATCCCAGGTTTCACAATTTTGTAGGATTTCATTTTTCCACCTTCGGAATATTGCTAAGATTAGAAGCATCCTTTCCAGGAGTGGTGCTGAAAAACTAGTTCATGCATTTATTACATCAAGACTGGATTACTGTAATTCATTACTCTCAGGCAGAGGTGGAAAGTAACGAATTACATTTACTCACGTTACTGTAATTGAGTAGCTTTTTTGTAAATTTATACTTTTTAAGTCGTTTTTAAAATCTGTACTTTTACTTTTACTTGAGTAAGTTTTTAAAAAAGAATTGTAATTCGCTACATTTTACATCATATCCGTTACTGAGTAAAAATAAATTGTAGGCTTGATAAATTAAAAATATTACGTGCAGCAGCGTCGGAACAGAAAGAGACCCCTGCATGAGCGCCACGTCTACACCGTGGGGGGGGCTACACGCTTTATGATGAGGACAAACAGCCATTTTTACCGCAGTTTTGCTCAAAAACATCAGTTCGGTCCCTGTGATCCACTCGCTGTTTACCTCCTCTCTCACTCCTCTCCTATGGGTTGGAACCCGCACCTTCGTGCACCGGTGTGACGTCATCAGAATTCTGCTCGGTTCGGTAACCAGACTCGGTTCCGTGTTTGAAATGTGTTTCCATACCGCGTACGGAAGCGGCAAAATAACGTTTAGCGCTCATAACAAGCGGATTCTCAGCGCTCTGCTCATAAAACAGAAGACCTGCAGGCCTCTGTGAGTGAAAACATCCTGATACTGTTCAGGTGTAAACATTGTGCTCCATCCCTGTGTTTGAACTCAGAAGATGCTCCTTGATGCCACAGATATGTGATGATTTAGCTTGTTTCTTTATTTTCCTCCAGAATAAGAGATTAAATTATTACAAAAGCAGTTCAGTGTAGTTAAATTAGTCATTCACATGATTCTAACATGCTGCAGTGTGTGTGTGTGTGTGTGTGTGTGTGTGTGTGTGTGTGTGTGTGTGTGTGTGTGTGTGTGTGTGTGTGTGTGTGTGTGTGTGTGTGTGTGTGTGTGTGTGTGTGTTTAGGACTGCATAAGACAGCATGGCTTCATCAAATCCATGCATCCAATATCTTGGCTGAAGTAATGGCTCAGGAAAATAACTTATATTTAATAAACAATGATGTCTCTGCAGTGTTTATGATAATGTTTTATCTTATATTGTACCTATCTTTGGTCTGGGAGGTGTAACTTATCATGATACAAGCCTTTTAAAACATGTTAAAGTGTTACAAGAGGAGATAAATGCATGAATTTGAAGTTCATATTTGGAGACCAACCTTCACAGTTTGGAGGCTCACGCTGGTGAGGAGACATCATTAGTTCTAGTAACACCTGGGCTCCCACGGCCTGTTCTGACAGGATGTACGTTACGGGACCCTTAAGGATTCCAATTGGATGATTGGAGGATTATTTAGGAGGATTGGAATGAACAAACTGATTTCAGTGGTGAAGGGTTAAATGTATTGGCTCGGCATTAAAATTGTAGAAATGCAAAATAACTACACTTTATTATCTATATAAACATGTACTGGGTCCAGTTTTTTTATTTATTAAGGACTTTTGTCATAAATCATTACAGAAAATCCAAATCCTCTCCTCCAGACAGTGAAGAACTGTGTTTCGCATACGTCACTCCAGCACGTAAAACAAGCTTGCTGCTGATGCTAATATTGTGAATCACTGTTATTTGTTTACTTTCATGCTCCTAATTATTATGTAAAATTGCGTTAACAGCTGCAGCAAAAGGTCTGAGCCATGTGTCTGTGTCCTACCAGAGGCAGGTTTAGCAATTTGGGGGCCCAAGGCGAACACAGACATGGGGCCCCTTACATAAAATTGTCAACAATCTTACCTTTAACTGGATTTGCGAAACTCTCCCCTCTTCTGACATGAGTTATTTTCCATTTTTATTAGTTCTCCTCTTTTTTCCTGTTTTTCCCTCCTTTTGAGTGCTTTCAATATTTGCTCTGCTTTCTTTTTCCTGTCAGTGCTCCTGTGCTTTTGCCTTTGTTATATTTTTTCTATTTTCTATTTTGGTCTATGTTTTCCTCCCTTTAAACATTTTCCATTGTCTTTCCTTTCTGCTTCCTTTTGATGTTTACATCGAGAAACGACGTCACTTTCAGAAGTGAAAATAAAAGCTTTTATGAAGCATGCTGCTTCTTTCTCTTATTGGAGCCACTAGGATAACTCCATGTCATGCTTCTTGTTTTGACTATCGCTTTGAGTTTGTTATGAACGCTCCCACCTCTCTTCTTCTTCTTCTTGTTTGTGGTCTTATGGCACTTATGGCAAACAACCATTTGGTGCATTACCGCCACCAACTGGATTGGAGTGGAATGACT